CAAGTGTAGCCAATTAACCTATTACTGAAGCCCAGCCTAATCTTCTCTGTTGCTACCAAAAGATCATTGTCAGATCTGAGCAGTCAGATAAGATCAGCTTATGTATAAGCATTAGCTTTTAAAATCAAAATTAATCACGAATCAAAATTCAATATTCTAGGGACAAATTTCTTTTTAAATTCAAAGAAATCTATTACTTCTAATATGAAACAGTAAAATAGTCTTTAAAAGGGGAAAGCATTAAAAATCTTCTGGCTTCGAGTTGGATGTCATGGCAGGATGGGCCCAGGAAGACAGGGCTCCATCTTTTGCATTTGATTTTGCCCCGTTGGGGACCCTGGAAAGGGTTGAAAGTCACCCCGTAGAGGCAACAAGCAAGAAGGGGACTCTCATTGATCGCGGTAGAGCAGCGGCCCTTCCATTTGATCTGAGGAAGTCCTCCAAACTACCAGGGGAAAGACTGGCTATATTTGTGTAGCCAGTCAGAACTGATGACAATGGAAGACAATAAGCATTAGCAAGCAACCTTTCAGCAACGTGGATGAAACTGGTCTATCCTCTCTTTATGACTTCTTCCTGAAAAAATTGCCCCAAACACCTTCCCTGATGAGAAATGGAAGGGGAATTTCCACCCCATTCCCTCAGGAAAAGAAAAGCAGCAAATTAATTACTTGGGGGAAACAGAGAAAATTACAAGATTAATTTGGAATTTATACGCATATATGGTTTTGAAATTTGGGGACTAAAAGTGCTTTTGAGACTTTTTTTAAGGAGATTTGAAAAGCTTGTAATATAAGTTTGGATTTAAAAAGCTGGGAAACAGCTAATGACATCTAGTGGTGAATTATGAACTGCAATTTGTTATGCCTAAAGGAAACTTGGCTTGAAACCCAGATTTAGATAAGACTCTTGCTGATCTTGGAAACTTTCACTTTTGAAGACTGCAGCTGAGAAAAGGGAAAAAAAACTTATCGGTGTGGCAGAGATGATGAACTACTTTGAAACCGGCCTGCCTGAACTATGAATATAAATATTAACTGACTTTCACAGCTATGTTGTGGAACTATTTCCCTGCAGGACAAACACACATCATTGCTTGAGATGATGGAATATTCTGGATTACAAATCTTTGAATGATAAACAATTTTTATTAAAAAGACAACCTACAAAAAATGAAATGGAAGTCCCATACTCAGATTTAAATGGTAAAAAACCATCTCTAAAACCTGTGCCCAAAGTCTTAAGTTTGATATACTACCAAGAAAATATGGATGAAGATCAGAAAGAAATTCTCTCCATGTTGAAATCAATACAACAGACTATTGCTTTAGCTTGTGATGAGACTAGAAATAACACAAAGGAGATAAAGGAACAAGTTTCTAATCTAAATTTACAAACCCAGAACATGACTACAAGGAAGGAACATGACTACAAGGAAGGAAGCAACTCAGAAAATAGAAGGAAAATGGGAGAAAGCAGATCTAAAGATGGAGGACCCAAAGAAAGGAACTAACTGACAGATTCAGACAACTGAAGAAGCAGAAGACGGAGTGATAACATTGGAAATGGAAAAGACATCTTACCATTCAAGAATTCATAATACATTTGAGGTAAAGGAAGAAGAACTGATTGAATGGAAGATAGAGCTGTTAGAAGAACTGTGGGGAATTGGAGAAGGAGGGGGAGGCTGTTTAATGAATATCAATGGGTTTGTTCTTCCAAAAATACTTTAACCAAATGATCTTTCTTATTCCAAACAATATACACAAAAACAGAGGAAAAATTACTTGATGATTCAAATAAATTGACTTGGAAAGTTAATTGGCAAAGGAAGAAAACTAGAGTAAGACTGAAGAAAATAGAAGTGTTGTTCCATTACATAGGATATTATATTATTAACTAGATGTTTGAAGATGGTAGAGAATAGATAATTGCTAGAAATAGAAGTATTATCATAACTAGAAAGATAAGATTTGTAATTAGAATATTGGATTTTGGTATAGATAAGATAAAATAAGATAACCTTTATTGTCATTTTTATACTGTGGGCATGATGGCACACATCAAAAATGAAATTTAGTTGCCCACTCTCAAAGTGAAACACATACAAGTGACACACACCTAAACATACTATGAACAACATATGTATAGACCCACATCCCTACATATACGTAGCAAATAAATATTAAATATTGTCCATCTTGAATATATAACGGAAGGAGGAAGCTTGAGAGTTCGCAAGGTTAATGCTGTATGGAATGAAACTCTGGCTGAATCTGGATGTTCTGCTTCAGATACCACGAAGCCTCCTCCCAGAAGGTAAACAGGTCATGAAGAGTGTAGTGTCCCAGATAATCTTACGGACCTGCTCAAGTAGTGCTTCTGTGCTATGTCCTGGATGGGAGGGAGGGAACTGCCAATGATCTTTTCGGCCATTCTCACCACTCTCTGCACCGCCTTCCTGTCTGAAGCAGTGATGCCTCCAAACCTGTGATGCTGTATGACAGGATGCTTTCAATTGTCCCCCTGTAGAAAGTGGTCAGGACAGGGGAAGGAAGATGTGCTTTTCTTATGCAATAGAGACATTTTGAACACTGAGGGGAAATTAAAATTTTTTTTAAAAAAAGCAAAAACAGGATACTGATTGAACATATGGATATTAAGTGCAAATGCAATTAAGATATGTTTTGGTTAGAAAAGTTATCTAAAACTGACATTATTGAAATTATAAGAAAAATATAACAAAGATATTGATATTCAATTGTATATTTATTAATAACAGTAAAAATTGTATTTGCCTAGTGTGGGAAAACAGGTACTACCAGAAAAAGAGAGGAAACATTTGATGGTGTAATATTGAATCTAGATTGAAGAAGTACCACTGAATTTCTAATAGACCCAGACAACACATTGTCTATTAAGTATTTGACTGTAAAATTAGAAAATTAATAATATATATTCTGCAATCTCTAATGGATGTTTGGCTTTTTCAGTATCATTTTAGAAAAAAAAAGTCTTACCAACACTTAAACTTTTAACACAAAAGTAAATTCTATTGGGTCAATATTTTGCTATTAGTCTTGTAGTGTGAAGCTGAAGTTAAAATTTTTGAATCCCAGAGGTGTTTTTTCAAAAAGGCAACTGGGCTTTCTTGTTTTTTTTTTCCTTTGAAAACACTTTGCTTCTCATCTAGGAAGCTTCTTCAGTGAACTGAAGAAGTTCTTGGACAAGAAGTGAAATGTTTTCAAAGGAAAAAAAAAAAACCCAAGAAAGTCCAGTTACCTCAGCCATGACCTGGATGATTGAGAATCCCCAGAGACAAAATTTCTAGAGGAAACTCATCTGCCTAACCTTGTTTTACCTTGAACGGGTTTAAGATGGCAGGTATGCTACAATTGTTCCCAGCATGGCTTTTCTTATTTCAGACTTGATGGATACCCATTGGATGCATCTACCAGTCAAATATCTCAGCTACTTGATTATGCTTTTACTAAGCCAAGGCTGCATACATTCACAAGTGTAGTGAATTTTCATAATCAGTTTTAATTTGCATGGTTGCCCATCTGATCTAAGTTATTCTGGGCAGCAGATAAAAACAATAAAAAACAAGTTTAAAAGCTAATGTACAAATATACACAGTGTTTCCATTATCAATTTAAAAAAACCCTAAAATCACGATCAGCAGAAGAATTCATTCTACATCAGCTCATTGTGTCCATTTTCAGACCTCTCCATCATTGCCAGAGCCCAGGCATTACTACTCTACACCTAAAGTTTCTATTATTTTTGCCATTAACTATACACCAATATTGTTGATTTGTTAAAATCCCCCAAATGAAAAGCTTTTCCTTAAACAGACTCTGAACCTAACTTGTCAAATCTTGATTTCCATTACGTTCAAGATTCCTGAACACAACCCAAGTTTACTGGGAAAAAAGAGGTAGAAATTCTGCCAGCATTTGGTTGCTGCATTTCTCAGCTTCAATTCCATGAAAATAATTTCACACAATTGTCATCAAAAAGATTTGCAAGAAAACGATTTGCATTTTAAGGCTATGATCCACAATTTCTTGCTATCATTTCTGTAGACAGTTGATAAAAGTGTTTCATGATAGCTATTAGTATGCATTTCAGGATATCATGAACATAGAAAGATATATAATTGACCCTCAACAGCAATGACCACAAAAATGACATTTCTTTTTGGAACAAGTCTCTATGTTAATAATGTCTTATTGTGAGACATGCAAATTTATGTAAGAATCTATGAATTTCTTTCTCTCCTTTGTTACTTTCTAGCGTGGATATTCAAAAGTTGGAAAATTTATAGATAGGCTACTAGATAAAGGCTGCAGATGGACTTCAGATGGACACTAAATGGTAGCAAAGCATTTGTGCTTTGCTACATGTTGAGTAGTTGTTTGGATTTTTGTAACTTTATGTAATTTTCAGATGATAAACAAATAATAAAATTTTAATGTGTTTTATAAGCAAATAAATTGTATCTGTTCCAAATATTGCCTCAGGTCCCTGGGGTTTCTCCTAATATGAATGGCTGTGTGAAATCCTTATTGTTATTATTCAGTCACTAACTCATGTCTGACTCTTTGCGACTCCATAGACCACAGGTCGGCAACCTGCGGCTCCGGAGCCACATGCGGCTCTTTGAGCCTTCCCCTGTGGCTCCCAGCCTCCTCTGCCTTTGCAGAGAGAGACAGAGACAGAGAGAGGCAATTGCACTTCCCTGCTTCTCTCTCTCTCTCTCTCTCTCTCTCTCTCTCTCTCTCTGTGTTTTTTTTTTTTTTGTGTGTGTGTGTGTGTGTGTGTATGTGTAAAAGAGAGTGCACTCACATTGTTCTCCGAGGAGCTCAAAAGCTTACTGGGCGGAGCTCCACCCTTTACTGCGTCTCTGCAGGAAGCAGGAAGCAGGAAGGGCAGGAGAGAGCTAGCTAGCCCAGCTAGGCTGACTTAGGAATTCTGGGAGTTGAAGTCCATGAGTCATAAAAGAGACAAGGTTGCCTACCCCTGAGATTGTTGGAGAACAACTTGAAGCTTGCCAGGTGAGCAGCAGATGGGGGGGAGAAAGAGAGAGAGAGAAAGAGAGAGAGAGAGGGAGGGGGAGAGAGAGAGGAAAGAGAGAGAAAGAAAGAGAGTGGGGGAAGAGTGGCAGACCAAGAGTGGCAGACCAAGGGCAGAGAGGGAGGGAGGGAGAGAGACAGAGAGAGAGAGACCCTTTTGACATCTAAAATGAAGATAACACTGCATATACCCTTTTTTTACCTATGTGTGTTTGTAATTTTATTCTCTTAAAGCATTCTCTCGGTGATCATTGTTTTAATAGTATGGATATTCCCAAGAGTCATATTTTTACTTTTATTTTTAATGTGTGTGTGTGTGTGTGTACACACACACATACACAAACACACACACACACACACTCTCTCTCTCTCTCTCACACACACACACCTATAATAAAGATAAAAAAGAATATATGCAGTGTTATCTTCATTTTAGATATCAAAAGTGTTTTGCGGCTCCCGGTGTTTTGTTTTTGGTGGGAAACGGGTTCAAGTGGCTCTTTGAGTGTTTTGGGTTGCCTACCCCTGCCATAGACCATAGTATGCCAGGGGTCCTCCACTATCTCCCGGAGTTTGCCCAAGTTCGCATTCATTGTGTCTGTCACCCTGTCTAAGTTCGCATTCATTGTGTCTGTCACCCCATCTCATCCTCTGCTGCGCTCTTCTCCTTTTGCTTTCAATTTTTCCCTATATCCAGATCCTTGTTAGAACTTATCATTTTTAAGTAACACTATCAGCTACTCGTGAAATTGCCTCAATGGTTTGGTAACTTTCTACAGATATTTGCATCTCTGAAGTAGTTTGAGAATTTTTTTTTTAATATTGGAGCATAGCTGATCTATGAACTGATGGATTTTATTTAAATATTTTTCAAATACATCTCTAATAATTTGCTCCTCCATCTTCTTAACTTCCTCTTTAGTCAAAGAGTAGCTTATTTGTAAATCATTTAAGAATTGCTGGTCAATCAAGAATAATGAAAATCAGAAAGTTTTAGCCACTCACGGACCAAGTGGACAAGCTACAAATTACTAAAAATAATAAACTAAACCCACAATTTTCTGCCTTTATATTTCTCTGTCAACTTTTTTTTCTTTTAAAAAGATACTCCATACTTCCTTATTTTGGCTTGCCTTCGCAGCCTTCTTCCTTGTTGTTTATCAGTGAAGAAATTCCCAAAATGGTGCAGATCTTCAAAAAGGAGTAACAGACTGTGGCTAAAGAGAGCCTCTTTTAGCTTAGTAAAGATTAATAGTACTTAAAAATGATTAAGAAATGAAAGGCATAATTTACTGTCCATTTGAAAAATAAATGATTGCAGCCTCCCCCCCCCCCAGCTTTTGGCACATAGGCACACTTGCAGACCTTTGCTGTATTGGAGGATCTTGAGAGATAATTCTAGAACTTTCTCTAATCCAACAGAGTCATGTAAACTAAAGGAATGCTGGTTCCTATTGTTAGTATTGAAAAAGCTACACCCAAGGGAAAAACCCTTCAGGGATCTCAGTTGGTTATCTTTTCACCAGAAGTGGTGTTCCATGGCTTCATTCTTAAGGATGCTTGACAATCTTGTCTCCCTACACTGTTTTTGTGCAATCCTCCCATATAGTTAAAACTATTGACCTGTTTGTCGTGTTCATAAATACTTCCTTTCTTTGAACTTTGAAAGTTCAAAACTTTCCTTATTTTTCCTAATTGATTCTATATTCACTTACTTCAAACAATATTTGAGGAACATTTAGAGTCTCCAGGTGTAGTTCAGATATCTTATGGACTTAACTAGATGTTGGCAGAAATTCTATACTATTCAATCATTCCAGGGAAGTTCAGAAATAGATATATCAATAGCTTAGAGAAACTCTACTATGGTTTTTATCCATAGTGTGTTTTTCATCACATACTAATTCTGCTGATGGTATAGCAATTTTTATCATTTTCTGTTAAAGCATGATCCTATGACACTTTTATTTAATTTATTAGAAAGAAATAAAGGTAACATGGACTAATGATTCAATGACAGAGCCACAAATTCTATTGGAATACAAATCAGTTTGACAGTGGTATCAATAGTACAAACATGGTTCAATAATTTTTTTTTAAAAAATCCAAATTATTTCTGCTCTTGCTCCAAGCAAATACAATGAGTATTATTTCATCATGCAAATTCTTCCACAAATTTCTTTCACTGAAGTTTAAAGCAAAACAATTTCATTTTATGAATAATATTCCTTTATAGCTGAACAATATCAGCTGAATAATTTATTCATTGAATTGTACTGCACATTTCTAATAGCGAACATTTGCTTATTCATCATAAACATGTTCATACTTAATAACTTAATATCACCATATATGATTAAATATAAATAATGTATTTATGTTAGATGATATATTTCATACTTTGTGTGGATTCTATATTTACTTTGGGTGACTATGGGACAAATACAGATGTAAAATGAATAATAAGCAATTTCTGTAAATAATTGTCCCCACATTTAAATACTCTTATAAAATTATTCTTTTTTTAAAAAAAAAACCAAATAATGGAAATATTGCTGTGTCTCTTGAAATTCATTACCCATTTACACTATCAGAATAATAACACAATAGGCAACAGTGATATAGATGTAGTTTTAGGTAACAATGCTTAGAAAAAGGCTGGCAAATGGGAGCTGTGAAATAAGGCAGTGCGGTGGTGAAGAGCAGGTCACACAGAACATGAACTCATATTCACTTTCTTTCTGAAGATCCACTGACAAAGTTACCTTCTTGGAATACAATTGTGGTCCATTTCAGCCATTTATGAGACAATTTGGTTCATACAGGTCTGATTCTGTATTTTCTTCCTTCAAACAATACTTGAGGAATACTTAGAGTGTCCATATGTGGCAACTTTTTGATATAAGCATTACATAAAATGGACAATGATAAAATAGCTCGGATTCATGATGTTTAAACAGTTGAACAGTTCCACTGCAGGGTTTTTTTTTAATTAGAAAGGTTTTGAAACTTGTTTACTTCAATCCTTCTAAGTAGACATATCTCTGTTTCTTTCTTTCCATATTACATAACCTTGTTCCACATCCATGGGTACCAGTGGCAACAATTGTCTAAGCTGATCTGCTGTTACAGAGGCCAGCAGTCAGGAATTAAGAGTAGCAGTCTTAACAACTTAGTCATAGCATTGTGTCTTCACTACAGGAAGTGAAAATGGAAGCACAATGCAAAAAGGGCCAATAATTGAGAAATTGTAAAGTCGGGTCAGCTACAGGAAGTCCTCAACTTACAACAATTCATTTAGTGACCATTCAAAGTTACAACAGCACTGAAAAAAGGTGACTTATGACCATTTTTATAGCATCCCCCTGGTCATGTGATCAAAATTCACATGCCTGGCAACTGACTCATACTTATGACCATTGCTGTGTCCCAAGGTCACGTGATCACCTTTTGCAACCTTAAGACAAGCAAAATCAACAGTGAAGCCAGATTCAATTAACAACCATGTTACTAAGTTATTAACTGCAGTGATTCACTTAACAGCTGTGGCCAGAAAGGTTGTAAAATGGGGCAAAACTCATTAAGAAATGTCTTACTTCACAACAGAAATTTCAGGTTCAATTGTGGTCGTAAGTCAAGGACTACCTATACTTTGGGAAAGTAGATTTGGTAGGATCTGCCAAAACCCTGGCAGTTGTCAAAAGATGGTATTGTGGCTGTCTTGTAAAGCTGCTACTCTATAGTCTGTAGAGACTTAAAACAGTCCTGCGCAAGGAAGGAACCTGGATATTATATAGTCCTAGCTCTTCAACAGAGCTTGTAGTCTAAAAGATACCCTGGTAATTAACATTACTAGTGCATCCATACAGGTATGATTTAATTCTTAAAAGTTCATCAGTTTTAAGGGTAAAGTCTCTCTTGAGTTGATTTAGTTTCCTTAAAATCAACCAATGCTGTCTAGGAGATGCTGCTGCTTAGCCCCCTGAATTGAATCAATTTGATTCAGCAATTCTTCCTAAGTGAAAAAAAATCCATAGAACATAATTACAGATCTCTGGATTGGAGCAAATAAGACTAAATTGACTTAAATGCAAGCTTTGGGGCTTAATGGGAACGTGGAACAGGTTAATAAGGCAATTAAATTTATTTAGAGCATGATTTTAATCCATCTGCCCCAAAATAAAGGATCCCTCAGAGGAATAAAGATATTGTTTGCTTGTTAGGGTCATGCTTCATTATGTATAATCATTACTCTGTTAAATTGGCATCTGGGACTGTTAACAGTCATTCGACCAAATCTGTTTTGTTTGTTTGTTTGTTTTTTCTTTTAATAAAATATTGGGGCCAAATTCTCTTCTAGGCTATAAATTCTGCTATTGCATGCTTTATACTTTTTGCAATTTTTTTCCAGTTCTTGAATGAATGAGTACACAGACAATCACATATATTTCTCTGCATTGTCAACCAAAAGCAAGCAAGCAGTAGAGATATAAAATGAATAATATGTTGATTTGCTGCATTGGCAATGAGAGACTGACAGTCCAATATCCATCCTAACCTGAGAAGGAGTGACCATTGACACCATATATTGACAGCAATATGCTAAACATTAATGTATTCTCAATGCCCAGGTGACTGCTTAATATAATATTAAAACAAGTTTCCAATTACTTTTTTTTTAATTCTGTCATTCCCCCATTAAAACAGATCAACTAAGAAATTTTGGGATAAAAATTGTTTGTTGCTATAACAACAGACAATGTTCTCTATGTAAAATAAATTGCAATTCCTGGATTATTGTAAATTATATATGAGACAAAAATGAAAAATGAAGTGGGAAATTGGAAATGTACAGATATAATAAATTTTGAAGGGAGGGGAACGAAACTCAGCTTCCACAGCTAGACATTTATTTTTAGGAAGGACATCCTGTTTGTGAGAAAGGCATTTCATCCTTGTATATATGGAAATCTACATGATGGGGGGAAAAAGATAAAGTATTTGCTGGATCAAGAGATGTATGAATGAATCACTATCTTCCATTTTCTGCTGCCTAGGGGTAATAATTGTAGCTCATGAAATTCTACTTCCCTAGAACATTCCAACATCCATGGACACCATGGTGAAGACCTCACTGCACATTCATCTGCATAAGTCTGCTTGAATCAAGTTGCATATCAGAAGACAGAAATTCTACAAATCCCATGCAGGTTGGAAAAAAAATATACCCAATTCTACCTGACTACAAATGGATGGGTGAAATTATCTAGTCTATTTTTATTTCATGTCCTTTGATAATGCAATCTAATTCTTCACTATTTTTTTCAGCCTGTAATTATTAGATTTTTTTATTCTGTATTCCTGCAGAATTCAGACTGATGACAAAATTGTAATGACTGAAATCTGCCATTTTATTTTATCACCTTCCTTTTAAAAAGGTGTTATTCCTTCCATTCTTAGGAAACAATTGCAGAACAGTAAAGATCAGTGCGAAATCTAACAAGCTTCAAATGTAAATGAGTAATTGCATAGAAGATGTATTGAGCAAGACAGCAGTGATTTACTGCCTTGTCTGTTCTGACATAAAACTATACACTATAAAGAAAATAGACTGTAATATGTAAGTTCATGAGCAGGAGGAAATGAAGCATAACTTAGGATATGAAAAAAGAACTAAAAGTATCTAAAGGGAAAAAATCATGCATTTACAAACTTTAATTGCATACATTGCTTATACATAAAAGTCAGAAGCATGATGAATAGTATTTGTAAGATATTAGCTCTCATTGATTCTAAATGCAAGTCTGAATTTAATATATTGCTATTAAGGCTGAAGGAGAAAAATATGTTATTGTTATAGCATGTCTGTCCTCAAGGACAAAGCTTCAAAGTCAACATGGCGTGATGGTGCTACTAAATATTTGCCAAATCCTACTTCCCCATTAACACTGAAGGGGATTTGCCTTAAACTATACATACTTTTCTCCTCTTATGCTCACTCTTAAGAATTCCAAAGAATGGGTAGAAAAATTGTCATTTTTGAAACTTGGTGTAAAACAGGGTTCTCCAAGTGGTTGAGGGAGCTATCCATTGTTGATGTTATTGTTAGTTTAAATAGTATTTATTAAATTATTTTCATATAATTTATGGGTTATGAACAATCTGAAACTTTATGAAGGGATTAATGAGTTGAAGAATTTGTGATCTCTTGATATATCAATGGCCTTCAATGGCCTTGGAGGACAGGAAGAAGAGCTGCTCCCAAGGCAGCAGTCAGATGAATGGGATTTGAGCCGAAGGCTAGAAAATAATTTGAAGAGGGCCTCTGCTTAGTCTCTTGCCCCACCCACTATCCAGCTGCAGGCTATGTTTTCTCTTATCTGACCATTCCTTTGGCAGACTTTGGTATGGTTTTGGAGAGATAGAGGTCAATAGATTGGTATGACATTATCCATCTCTACCACAAAGCATTCTTTCAATTAACTTTTTCCAGTGCAGAAGGAATATTCGCCAAATGTTGGTTTCCAGCTCATTTTAAATTATAATACCCTCACATTGCCTTGTGCCCCATTAGCTATTGGGTGAAAAAAATGCAGCAATTTGGCAATTTATTTAGAAGTTAAGGAAGCTTATTCTCCAGTAACTGTGATTCAGATATCAGTCTTAATACCACTTAGATGTTAAAAGACCATACTCTCTCTTTCTCTTGGTTTCAGCATATTTGCAATTGAGAGACTTCACAGTGCCTGTAGTTAGTGTTATTGATTTTTAGAACATTTGTAATTGACCTGTTTTTCTCTTTCTTGGTATCTAATTGCATTTTAAACGAGAAAGGAATGTCATACGGTGGGTTTTTTTTTCACCACATAGAAGTCAACTGAGTAAACCTGAAACTTGACAAAGAATGGACCAGACCTTTTAGAGGAGATTATTTTAATTTGTTCCTGGGACAAGGCTTCTTCCACACAAATGTAAAATGCACATTAATGAGATTACAGCAGCATGCGGATGGAAAGTAAAATAACAGAGGAAGGCAAAACAGTTAGATAATGATCCAAACTGTGTGAATAGGAAGCCAGGGTATAGAAAATAGCAAATAATAATAATAAATAAATAAATAATGTGGACAACTGGAAGAACTGAAACTAAATATATCAAAGTAATGAGATACAAACTGAATGTTTTACAGTCATATTCTAAACATAGAGGCAGCCCTATTGAATTTAGTGTGACTTTCTACAGTACCCAATGTATATAGAATTATAAGAAGACATATATATTGAAAATATAAGGTTATTTTTCTTAGATCAGTTTTTTTAAAAGATCATAAATACAGCTTCTAACATACCATAATAGCCATAATATTTATACATATTAGTTCAAATTATTATTTTATCTATTTCCCATTCCATATGAGATAGTTTTATTTAAAATCATGGGTCAAAAGAAAAAAAAAAAAGAAAACCTGCTGTAATGTAGACTTAATGCAGTAGATAAGAACTTGATATCCTCATGAATAAAGTCACTGTACAGTTAACGTTTTTTTCATTGTCATGTCATCCTCACATTCTTCCTTCTGAAAGAACCAATATTAACGATCAAGAAAATGCAGGATGTATTATTACAGACAGCATCATATAAGTAGGGCAGCCTTCCCCCACACGATTCTACCCTTGTGTGCTAGAAGTCCCTTCTAGCATATCTCACCAATCTGGAGAATGTCAGGTTGTTAAAAGCTGCCATAGGGCACAACACCATCAGCACGACAGGCTAGTTATAGATTCTGGTCTCAAATGCTACTTTAAAGAATACAAATATAAAAATGTAAAATTTAAGCCTCGTTATAGATTAACTAACATCTAAATGGATCAGTAATTTGGACTCAGGCAGAACTGATGCTATCATTCTCTCTTATGGAAGGGAATTGTCCTTTGGGGGTCAATAAAACACATCTAGATAGTGCAATCATTAGTAACCGAGTTTCCCTCTTCTTATCCTGCAGGCATTTGGATTCTTCTCAGAAATATTACATGATTACTGGTTCTCTTTGCATTGATGCCATTATTTCTCTTGCTATGATATCTCCATGTGTGTACAAAAGGTTATGCATGTAATAGCTTCTCATTCAGAAAAAAAATCGTCACATATGACATGCTGTGATTCTCTAATGTGACATTCCACTTTTTATGCACTAAATGAAATTTGTTACTATCCTATTTGCATTTGATGTAAAGAACCAACAATGCTGTGATAGTCAGTCAACCATACATAGGTTTTTTTGTCGTTTACATACTGGCTTTATTAGCAAAAATAAATAAATAAATACATTAGAGTAGGTGGTCTCTAAATTGTCAATCTTTGCCATACGTAAACATGTATGTATGTATGTATGTATGTACGTACGTATGCATGTATGTATATATGTATGTACACATACCTTTTAGATCCTTTCAGAGTGCTCATTCACTTTTTGTAAAGCATAGTGAACCATCTTGCATAGATGGAAGTAATAAATTTAATGGGAATTACATCTGACTAAATTTGTATAGAGCAATTCATTTTACCCAGTTTAGAATCATTTGTCAGATCTAGCCTTCTGATCAAAGTGAGAATATTCAGAAGTGTTAAGTATTTGATTAAAAAAGCCTAATCTCATTAAACTGTTCATTAAAATACTTGCCAGAGTAAAGCTACTGAATGTTTTAAAACCCTTGCACATAATCGTTGGTTTCAGTGATAACATAAAATGGATGATTTTATATTTGCTATCTCCTTCTCCTGGGCAAGCTTATGTAATCGGAATGATCTGAATGAGACACTCAAAAAAAAAAAAAAATGTGACAGTGAAATCTGCATCTGCCATCACCTGCAGTTCAGAACAGCACAAATCACAAATATCCTAAGAAACAGATCTGTAGTGCTCCAAACATTTTTCCCAACATCTTTAAAATGTGATCACTGAAATAAGTGGTAACTCTATTTTCATAATAGGAAGATGTACTTGCCTCTGAGAGATAAATCTTTCTTTTTTTTCCTGCAGTCATAAACAATGTCTCTGTTTCTGTTTGGATATGATGTGTAAACCAAAGGCAACCATATTAATGGTTTGGGGTTAAGATAAAGATCGGATCATGACCAAGGGCTACATCCTGAGAGCTGTGAAGGGCTAGCAACATGATTGCCAATGTCCGATAATGGATATGGCACAAGAAGAAGAAGAAGAAGAAATTTTTGCAAAAACATTGCAAAAGGCAGGACTAACAGCTCATTAGTGCTGAAAGGTTCTGAAGTATATACAAGTAAAAGGAAAAAAAAAAGAATTTCCACAAAGGCAGATTTCTGAAGCAGTTCTGTCAATAAATAAATCTGTTTCATTCTGATATAGTTACCTAGATTAAAAAAAAAAAAAGCACAACCTCTTTCTTTGTGTGTGTGTGTATGTGTGTGTATGTGTGTGGGTGTGAGAGAGAGATTGAATAGATTCAAAATGAGCACTCTCTCTCTCTCTCTCTTTATCTGTGTGTGAGTGTGTGTGTGTGTGTGTGTGTATGAGAGAGAGAGAGAGAGGGAGAGAGAGAGAGAGAGAGAGAGAGAGAGAATGAGAGAAATTGTAAAGATTCAAAATGAGAAAAAAGTATTGATGACTCCTTGATTCTGCTTATCAACTGTCCCAGCCTGATACAGGGCAACACAAATCAATAAGCACAGCTCATGCTTACTTTTAGATGTGAGGGCTGCTGCTACATATAGTAACCTGAGTAGTGGAATGATTAAGGGTCATGGACTAGAACTTCCATGTTCAAGTATACCCCCAAGCATTGATCACATTAGGTGACTTTAGGCCTGTCACTCTTTTTCAGCCCGTTATTATGACCGGGTTACTAGATCTATAACTGGAAATCCTGGAAGTAAATACCAACCGTCACTATTGCTGTCACTGTCACAGCTCTTTATGAGCGCTGTGCAGATGTTTTGGGGGATGCTTCACTGACAAAACATCCACCTTGAAGCACCTTCTTCAGACAGCAAGATGCTCTGCTGTGAATCATCAAACTGGAATGAACAGGCTAGTCTTCAGGTCAAATGAATGAAATGCAAAGCATTGTTGTGGAAAGATGTTTTTACAAAGAGAAGAATGAAAATACATAAGAAGTAAATCAAGAGTGACAGGAGGATAAGAGGCTCTTACTTGTGAGAACATATAATAGTTGTATACTCATTTTTTATTTTAATGTGGTTGTTACATTTGAAAGAAGTAAAATAAATATGGAGCTGCCATATCGGAGTATTTTATTACTTCAGCTTTCCCATGAATTAGAGGAAACAAATGACAAATGTTATTCCTTGCTATATTCAGGAAAGTTACATCTTCAAATAACAATATTATTCTGATCAGCTGATCACATTTTTGTTACATATACTTGTAACTTAACTTTATTCTACTTCCAAGCCTGACAGAGGGACCAAATCACCATTGCAGTAATGATTGGAAGAGAGACTGAGGAATCCAAATATTAGGAATCAAACTATGGTTCTTCAACATTTATATGCATGTATTATTACTAACACAAAAGGTATAGACAGAGGCAGAAATGAAAGACAGAAGTGGGAAATAGGAGCAATATCTCTTATAACCGTTTTTTTGGATAAAAAAACGATGTTGAAACTCTAAAAAGAGTGCAGAGAAAAGCAACAAAGATAATTAGGGGACTGGCAACTAAACTTTATGATGAGCAGTTGCAGAAACTGGGAATGTCTTGTCTAATGAACAGAAAGACCAAAGGGGAGATGATAGAGGTCTTCGAATATTTGAGAGATTGTCACAGAGAAGAGGGGGTCAATCTATTTTCCAAAGCACCTGAGACAAGAAGTATGGAAGATTAACAAAGAAAGATCCAGCCTTCTTCTCCTTCTCCTTCTTCTTCTCTTCTGTCATCCTGCTTTCTTTGTTTCTCATACAGGGACTTTGCCTCCTTTTATTTGCTCTCCCCTCCTCAGTATTTTTTTTAAAAAAACCCACTTGTTCTTTATTTTCACACTATGTTGGCAACATACAATTTAATGTTTTTTTTACAATATTTTTTTTTATAATGAATTGTAGTACTAGGAGTAAGCCATCAATAACTTATTTGCAATCCACAAACCCGCCATGGCTTTCCGAGATTGTATCATTGAGACTTGGCAATAAAATAACTCTGTATTGATGGTACAATAATGTTCCATTTTCCAAGTGTTAAGGTGCTTTTAAGGGTCATAACTGTACAGATTGAACTCTGGAAGAAATTTTGCTCCTATTACCACAGAAATGGTGCCCAGCTCTGAGTTGCACAATTATGTAAGCTGTTATAGTACAATCACTAACTATATTTCATTGCATTCTCTATGAAGTGAAAATGGGGAGGAAAAAGCAAGAATTGGTCAATGTTTTCTGTCTGAGTGCACAGCATAACTCTTGTGCTTAGAAGCTTCTGCATGAACTAGGAAAATATGCTGGCTGCTTTAAAAAATTGGAAACAGTTTGTTTTTTTACCTAGTAAAACAGGAGTCCCCAACCTATGGTCCGTGGCCCACTATCACTACTATGGTCTGAGGCCCACACCCACTACTGACCCTCATTTGTGCTAGTGCCCATGGCTCTGCCCAAGTGTGTGGGGCTAGCAGTGGAAGTGGCTAGTGCCTACACACCTATGCAAACAGGGCTGCTAGTATGCATGGGTTGCACGGCCTGTTTGTGCATGCGCATGGTGCTAGCAGTGGCATTGGTTAGTGCCTGCGTGCACACACAAACAGGGCCACTCACACGCATAGGTTGCACAGCCCATTTGTGCAGGCACATGGTGCTATCAGCGACGGCAGCTAGCACCTGCATGCATGCACAAATGGGGCTGCTAACACCGTGTAGGTGCGCATGGCCCCATTTGCACCCACATGTGCATACGTGCAAATTTCCCAGCTGCTTCCTTTCCCTCTGGGCCACCTGCATGAAAAGGTTGGTGACCTTTGTAGTACAAAACTAACTTTCAGGAACTGAATCTGAACCATCGCTTGACCTTACTGTACTAAAAAGTCTGTGACTGAAATAACTATTTTTTTAGATCACATAGAATTGTTCTTTACCAGATAAGCTGTAGTTTAGATTAGTACCATGAATTGTGGCAAAGAGCTTTTCAGTCAAACTATATGCTGTAACAACAGTGTGTATTTATACTTTACTATTTCAGGGGTCCTCAACCTTGGCAACTTTAAGACTTGTGGACTTCAACTCCCAGAATTCCTCAGCCAGCAAAGCTGGCTGAGGAATTCTGGGAGTTGAAGTCCACAAGTCTTAAAGTTGCCAAGGTTGAGGACCTTGCATAGATGGTGACATACTCTAGATGTGGTGAACAAACATTCTCATTCTCTCTCTCTCCCTTTCTCACCTGGAGGGAGGGGAGGAGACAGGCTTCCAAAGTTAAAATGGCAGCTGCAGCTATGCAATAAAAACCCCCATCCTTTCAAATGGGTACGGTACTGCACACATCACACTAACATTAAAAGTGAGTTTTAACTGTTTATTCACAGCCGCTATCCTGACTTTTTGAACCCTCTATCCCCATGTATGTGTATGAGCTTGAGTCAATTATTAGTAATACAATTATTACATTATAATGTTGCATTATTGTTATTATTAATAATACGTTAACATTGTTGATCCAAATTAAAATTATATTATTACAGTTATATATAATTATATCAATATTACTATAAGTGCCTGCAAAACAAAGCACTCTTTTCTAAATTTGATTCCCTATTAAGTATACCTATAAATTGCCCATGTATAGAGAAACAGATAGTTAGACTCACTGTACATTCCATTCGGGGCCTTAGATGAAATTGAAGAAAGAGGAAAAAAAATCCTATTCTTCTTATTGAATGTAAGATGCAAATAGATATTCTTTGCTGGGAAACCTCATTTTCCTATCCTGTAAATAATGAAAAATCTCAATTTAAAACTTTTATTTAGGAGGCATGCCTAGTAATCAAATAATAGAGAATCTGACCTTAAGAATGCTTAGGAAAGAGTACTTAAGCATTCCTAAGAATATTTACTCAGAACAGTCTTCCTAATTCAACTTTTTAGTATTGGAAATGGTTTAATCACATTATATAGTTTAGGATTATTTTAGAAGCCAGTTTAGTATAATGGTTAAGGTCCTGGGCTAGAAACTGGGAGACCATGAATTCTAGGCTCACCTTTAGCTCAAAACCAGTTGGGTGATCTTGAGCCAGTCACTATCTCTCAGCCCTAGGAAAAAAAGCAATGGCAAGCCACTTATGAAAAACCTTGCTAACAAGACTGCAGGGATTTGACCAGGCAGTCTCCAAGAATTGAATAAAAATGAAAGGAAGAACCCCCCCCCCCCCAGATTTTTAGGAATGAATGTTTAGCCTCAAAGGAAGATAATAAATCACTAACTTTGGAATTGTTGTCTTCCAAATCAAAGCATCCATTTTCTGAATATTATACTGGATATCAAATGCATATCCAATGTTAAAATGAGATTCGGTCTTGAAACTGATTTATTTACCCAAACTTAGTTATTTACCACAAAGATTTTGCTATGTTTCTAAAAAAACCTCAGGTTTCTTTTTAAGCCAGTGGTTCTCAACCTTTCTAATGCCACGACCCCATAATACAGTTCCCCATGTTGTGGTGACCCCCAACCACTTATACATCACCGGGTGCCAGGGGCGTGGCCAAAGAAAAGGGAGAAAAAAATGGCGGACAGCCTTGTTTGGCGACCTCCGTGAAATGGCCGTTCAACCCCAAATGGGGTCCTGACCCACAGGTTGAGAACCACTGTTTTAAGCAAACTTTGCTGCGCATTCAGAAATTTACCTACTTGCATAGGCATACATTTATACAGTTCTGCAGATGGGTAACTGTTAGAAAAACCATCAATGATTGCATTTCATTATAACATTTAGCAATAGCTTCTTTGTGATGGTTAGCTCAAGAAAATACCTACTGAGAATTTGCATACAAACTTTTCAAAAAGGCATTTACTAAGTGTATTGCCCATCCCCTCTACCCCAAAATACCCTTTTTATTTGAATGCAACTTCAGTATGCTCTTTTGTGAGAAAATGACATTTCTGGCAGAACTAAATTTCTCTTCATGAACATCTCTTTGAGCAACCTCAGAGAGTTAGAGGACACCTAAGAGGTACAGTTGAGAAGAAAGCAGAGAAGCATTTGTTGTAAAAAAAGTCTATGCACATTTCTTAGGTTACTAACTTTGCTCTTTTAATCCTCTGGCACACTTATCTATATTTGTTTTTGTTATTCGTTAGCATATTTTTTTCCCTAATCATCCTGGCAGTATTGTTGAATAAATAATTAAATATACATAACTAAACAAAAAACAAAAAGGAGGCAAAGTAACAGTATTTGCGTACTTCTTGAAG